TATGGTCTTGGGGTAGGGTCCAATCACCGCATCAAGACTATTTGTTTTTCTTAACATTTGTCTCTACCTAAAGAAAAACACCCTGAACTCAAATTTTGTGGATTTTTTTTTTTGTATTTTGTAGAAGTTATGGCTACAAGGCATAGTAACAATTCTGTCAAGTCTAACAGAATTGTTAAGGAATTCAGTCCCATTTTACGTTGCCTCTGAATATTTGTGGACTCCACTGTTAGGTATAGATTAAGGCATCAACCTTTGAAAGGCTCCATCCATATTATACTGCTGTTTGATTCACTGATTGATTTGATTGATTGATTGATAAGTTCTACTACAATTGCTTTGTTTGTTGTGTGATTACTTATTTGGGGGACTAAAATAATTCAGGTTAATCAGATAATAAATATAGTGTTTTTCTATCATGAAAACTCTTAGAAATGAAAACAGAGGGAATATTTAAAGAAGAGTGTACAAGAACAAACATTTTTAAAAGCTTTACTAATATCATGCTTTTAGCTATCTTAAAAACTATTAATAACTGTCTTAATCATTGATTAATCCATTTGACCATAGCAATAGATAACAACTGTGAAGATGAGTAGAATCATCAGAACAACTGAGTTTCTTTTTAGTCCAGTAGTTATATAATATTGACACAGGCCGAAAATTATAGGGCTTTCTCTGTTTTGACTTTCTCTGTATGCATAAGAAAAATTATACATTTCACATTTGATATTCAATTTACACTATTACGATGCCAATAATCTCAGCAAGAGGTGATGAGGGTTTGAAATAAGGTGGTAGATGTGTGAACAGAGAGTAAGGTGGAATGAAAGAGATGTTACAGATACAGAAAAGCAAGATTTGGAAAATGACTGGATAAGTAGGGTGAAGAAAAGTCAGAAGGATAAAATTAAGATGATATAGCTAGCCTAAATCACTATTGATTAGAGAAATGCAAATCAAAACAACTCTGAGATACCACCTTACACCTATTAGATTGACTAACATGACAAAACAGGAAAATGATAAATGTTGGAGAAGATGTGGGTAAACTGAAACACTAATGCATTGTTGGTGAAGCTGTGAACTGATCCAACTGTTCTGGAGAGCAATTTAGAACTATGCCCAAAGGGCTATAAAACTGTGTATACCCTTTGATTCAGCAATACCACTTCTAGGTCTGTATCCCAAAGAGATTATAAAATGGGAAAAGGACCCACAGGTACAAAAATATTTACAGCAGCTTTTTTTTTGTGGTGGCCAAGAATTGGAAATTAAGAGGATGCCCATCAATTGAAGAATGGCTAAATAAATTGTGGTATATGAATGTAATGGAATACTACTGTTCCATAAGAAATGATGAGCAGGTGGATTTCAGACAAACTTGAAAAAACTTACATGAACTGATGCTGAGTGAAGTAAGCAGAACCAGGAGGGCATTGTACACAGAAACAGTAACACTGTGTGATGACTAACTTTGATAGACTTAGGTCTTCTCGGCAATGCAAGGATCTAAGACAACTCCAAAAGACTCATGATGGAAAATGCTATTCACAACCAGAAAAAGAACTATGGTGTCTGAATGCAGATTGAAGCATGCTATTTGCTCTTTTTTATTTCTTTCTTTGTTTCTTCTTTCTCATGGTTTCTCCCATTGGTTCTAATTCTTCTTTATAACATGACTAATGCGAAAATATGTTTAATATGAATGTATATGTAGAGTCTATATCAGATTCCACACTGTCTTGGGGAGGAGAGAGGGGAAGGAGAGGGAGAAAATTTAGAACTCAAAATCTTATGAAAGTGAATGGAGAATACAAAAAATTAATTAATTAATTTTTAAAAAAAGATTATAAAGCCAGAAGAATGATGGTGCTTCAACAGAAATAGTGAGGTTTGGAAAGGGGTTAGTCCCCCTTGATCCTCACAACAATCTTATGAGGTAGGCTCAGTTATTAACTTCATTTTATAGATGAGGAACCTGTAGATTTGTGAGGTTAAATGTAAACTCTTTAAGAGTAGGCAAGGCCCGTTTTATTCTACGTATGTGAATCCCCAATGTATTGCCATGTGTCAGTACATAATCCCCAATGTATTGCCAAGTGTCAGTACATAGTAAGATGCTTAAATGCTTGTTGATTCATTGTTCAAGTAGATTTCCCAGGACCCTACAGATAGTAACTGAAGTGAGATTTGAACCCAGGTCTACTTGTCTCTAAGTCCAGTATTCTTTCTATACTGCTTCTCAACATAGCTACTTTCCCCTCAAAGTAAGTTTTCAAACAAAGGCTGGATGACTACTGCCTGAAAATGTTATAAAGGAAGAGACATTTTTTCAGGCAGGAGATGGATCAAATGGCTTCTGAGGTCCCTTCCAATCCTGAGATTCTACAACTCTATAATTGCTCTGTATTAAGGTCGAGTATCAAGGAGTCTTTAAGCTTGGGCTGAGTACTTTGTCTTTAAGGTCATACCAAGGAAGGGGCAGCATGGGGCAGCTGCAGAGAAAAAGGGAAGGCAATTACGTGTTTATATAGTACCTACTAAGTTCCAGGCACTATGCTAAGTGTTTTCCAAATATTATCTCATTTGCACTGCTAGTCCTCTTCCTTCTGTTCTACTTCTCTGCTATTAAATCAGAATAGACCATGACGAGGCATCTAAAGTGACTTTCAACATTTAACTTCTTTTTCCCCGCTTTTCCTTCCTAAGCTCTCACAGTAATTGAATTCAGCTTTTGAAAGCAATTGCTTTTGTCATAATTATCAACAAGTTTTTAATTGAGTATTTATTGTCTTCAAGGCACTGGCCAGCAACTGTAAATACAAAAATCCATAATAATGAATTCAAAAAGGTATGATATGTATGATCAAACCTTACAATCTAGCTGGAGACATAGGGCATAAATAACACAATGAACAAGCAAATCATTCTGCCACCTCTCTCTGAACCTCATTTCCTTATTACTCACAAATTGAAGATACTTGGAGTAGCTGATTTCTAAATGTTCTTTCAGACCTAAATTCCTCTTTTTTGGTCCTCTATTCATCCAACCATTTTCAAACCACAGTACCTGTATCTGGGTTAGCTCTCTTCTCCCACTAACCTACTCCCACCAAAACCTGTGCTTTGACTATTAAGACTAGCTTCTGATAGGTGAGCTCTTGCTTTATTTTGCCTGGAAACAGGCCTCCACGTCACTTTTAGGGCATGTATGAACCTTACAGTTGGTGAGTACTATCTTATTCTGGCTCCCCTTTTATGTGCTATCGTCTCTCATTAGAATGCAAGCTCTTTGTGGACAGGAAACTGTCTTGTTTACTTGCATTTATACCCCCCAGTACTGTTTAGCACAATGGCTGGCACATACTAATCAGCTAATAAATTATTTTTCATTCATTCATTCATTTATTCAAGTCAAATAAATGTTCCAGGATAAATTATAAAATAAATTTCTCGAGCTAGAAGTTTCCTTGGATATCATTTTATAGATTAGAAAACTTGCTCAACATCAAATAGGAAGTGAGTGGCAAAATCAGAATTTAAGGCCAGATCCAGCATTCTTCTCCCTATGTCAGACTGCCTCAATGTCCAGAATACAAAGTCAGATTAGTCAAGAGATCCTTGGTGGGCCTGGATGGGGCTATCTTTAGATCCAAAGTCAGGAATGATGGTTAGGCCAGGCCAATAGGAAAAGTCAAAGTCAGCACCTCATCTACTTGCAGACTGCCCTGATTTCAGAGCCAGTAATAGAGATTACAGAGAATTACCCATATGGACAATGGACTACTCAACAGTGATCACAATTTTCCTTTTAGTCAGGGCTGGGTTTCATACTGGGCTCAGGACTTAACCTGAAGATTGTTGTGTAGCCTTATGCTGGGTTTGATTCTCAATGATTCTAATCAGTAGATGAGATTTCTGATAGGATAAAAAAAAGCCAAACTAAATTGCATGGGTTGTTGTACACAAAAGCTATTCTTTCCTTTACCTCCTTATTTAAATTATTTTTATAATTTATTAAATTATATTTGTGATCAACGTGCTTGTTGTGACTAAGACTAAACTTAAAGTCAGGGAGACATGAGGGTCAATCCCACCTCGAGCACTAGTTGTGTAACCAAGGACAAGTTCTTTTACTTCCAGGAATCTCAGCTTCCTCCTGTAAACTGTGTATAGTATCTGTGATAGCTCTCTCACAGGGTCACTGGGAATTTCAAATGAGATAATGTATGCAGAGTACTTGGCAAGCTTTAAAGTACTACATTAATAAATGTCAGTTATTACTGTCTTTCTTTTTGAAGAGATAATGGAATGGTGCAGAGTGGGTATAACTAGGCTCCACATACTATCAATTACTTTGAGAGAAGCAATGTAAAACAGAAGTGGCAAAAACACAGTTTGCAGACCACATGTAGCTCCCAACACTCCCAGATTAAAATGTAATTAGGAAACTTTAACAAAATAAATAAAATGCAGTAAAACACAGATAAAATTACATTCTAAAATTGTCAATGTGTGGCCTGCAGGGATCTTCATATGCAAATTAATGTTTCCTGTTTCTATTTGAGTTTGATACCACTAATGTAAAAGGTGTCATCAGAAAGATTTATTATTGTCAAAAGATGTGGGCTGGTCATGTATTGAAAGTTAGGACTAACCACTGAACAGACCAAGTACTCCACTGGTATCCATGAAATGCCAAGAGATCAAGAGGAAGACTCGCAGAATGATGGGCACAACCCCTACAGAGGATGTCCAGGAGGACACGAAAAAAAAGACGCATTCAGGACAGCAGTGCACAGAATTTGGATTTACAGTCATGAAGGCCTGAGACTGAATCCTGCCTCTGATACTTAGCTGTGTGACCCTGCACAAGCCAGCTTCAGTTTACTTATCTGTAAAATAAGGATAATAATAGCACCTAACTTTAGGGTTGCTGCGAGAATCAAATAAGATAACACATGTAAAATGCTTGGAAATTTCTGAAGCTCTATGTAAATGCTAGCTATAAGTATTATACAAGATGAAGAGGAAAAAATGGATTGCGATCTACTGAATGGAAGAATTACCCACACCAAGGACTTCACAGACCCATTGAAATAGCTAAGTATGTCTTTGATTTTATTGTAAAACAAAGCTACCTTAAAATTATTATTAACTATACGATTTAGAGTTGGCAGGGACCTTAAAGCCTATCTAGTAAATTCTCTCTTTTTACAGATGAGGTAAACTGAGGTCTAGCAAGGTCAGATGAGGCACCCAAAGTCACATACAACTGGAATACAAACCTAAAACATCTGGCTCCAAATTTGTGTTCTTTCTACTATAATAAGCCACTTTAAATCAAAAGTAAATAATATGAAAATGCATTGCCCTTAAGTGAAAGATATTAAAGATTTTTTTTTAACATAAGTTAACATAATTCTAACTTTGACAAATCTGTAACACTGCCATGGATAGTTTCAAAGAAAATGCTTCAGTATCAAAGAAGTTTAAACATAAACTAATTTGAAATTTTCTGTACCAGTTTATACTTTGTCCCTTGTACATATAAATGTTAATACTAGATAAAATTATACTCGTTTCTTTGAAAATACGTAAATCCAATTCCTCATTTAGATGTTAGGCTAGTTCATTTTAATTAGCTCCAAATCATCTGGATCAGAAAAATTAAAATGTGAACTGCTTCATTCTAAGTTTAATTTGCTCCAGAAGAGGTCTTAAATTGTAAATAAGTTGAATCTGTCTCTGTGTATTGTCCCAATAATGCTAGAATTCAATAAACTATGTTCAACAATTTTTATACCTTGCTCTTTCTTAAAAACAAACAACTAAATGAAAATTAAAACTAATAATTTTTAAAGTTTAAAATCTAAGCCATAATGCTATATTAAAATTAGTTGAGGCAATGAATAGATAATGTTTATTCTACAATAACAAAAGTGACTAAAATAATTGATCTACAGACATCTTTATCCTTGAATGGATAAAGATCAATACTAACTGTATTATTCACCATCGTACATTTGGGGAAAAGTACCTCTATCATTCAGAAAGTCAGGTTCAGTTTGTTTTCCATTGTAAAAATCTACTTCTGATAGAAAAGTTTCATTTGCTATTGGCTAAGTCATTTATCTTAGTGAGACATCAGAAGCAATATTATACATCAGTAAGGTGATATAGGAAAAATGTCATCATTAACTATACTAAGGTTCTGGGATTTGGGTGCTTGAGCCTGACATGGCAGAGTCACTAAGACTGTGATAAAATTCATGCCTAAAATGCAGGTAAGTTTAGTAGGCAGGCATACCTCCACACAGAATTCCCCCTACCAAAACTGTTCTGCTATAACATTAATATGTCATAGCCAAATAGGACAGTAAAATTCTGTGTACTGAGGAAACTGAGGCTAGAGAAGTAAAAAGACAAGCTTAAAGTCACACAGGTATTATGTGAAGTACGGTAAGTGAGGAAAAACAAAAATTATTTGTATGGTCTTTAGGAAACTAGTGAATGGAGTGTACAATGGACATAGTACCAAGAACTGGAGAACCACGCTGAAACAATAAAGAATACAGTTCATATCAACCTCTTATCAATTATCAAGTATTTATTTAACAGCTACTTTATGATGTCGCTCTGTGCTAGGTGCTAAGGGGAGATATAAAAGTATTATAAGATAGCTGTTGTACATAATGAGGATACAAGTTAGTTGGATCAACTGATACATTTGCTTATACTTTTAAAATGGGATTATATTTCTACACACACACTCACACATATAAAGTGTTTTGCAAACCTTAGTTTTATATATCAGTTGGATAATTACATTGTTATTAATAATAATAATAATACCTTGACAGCTCCAATTTTATGTAATACATTAAGGCTTAGAATTGTAGTTTTAGAGATGGAAAGGGCCTTCAAGGTCATCTATCCCCAAACTCTGTTTTATAGTTGAGGAAACTGAAGTCTAGACAGGTTAAATAATTTAACTCGAGATCAAACAACAGGTAAGCAGTATAATTCTGATATGAAATGATACTCTTTGCTTCAGATTTATCAGACTTTTCACAGTAGCACACTGCTCCTCACACCCTTTACAAAGTACTTTCTTCACAACAACCTTAGGAATTAATACAAACATAACTGGAGGAGGAAACTGAAGCTCGGAATGGTGGTGGTCAAAGCTTGGTTATTGTTGCTAGCCCTCCGTTCTTGAAGAGGACCAATGACATTATGAGGGTGATGTCTTGGCTTGTATGTGAACTGGATTTTAATGAGGCAGAGTAGTCAGAAGAGATTATTTTCAAATCCTAGGTCACTTACTTATGACCTGTGTAACCTGGGACAAGTATCTTAGCCTCTTTGGGTTTCCCTTTCCTCACATGAAATGGCATTACAATTGATGATATCTCAGGGCTCTCTTCCAGATCTCAATCTTACGATTTTATAATCTACCTCATCCTTTGACTGAAACTGCTCTCTCCAAAGTTAAGTGGTCTCTTAATTGCCAAATCCAATGCTCTTTTTTAAAAATCTTCATTCTCCTGGATCTCTCTGCAGCCTTTGACACTGTTGATCACCTTCTTCTCTTTGATACTCTCTTCTCTCTAGGTTTTCAGGATACCACTCTCTCCTGGTTCTCCTCTTACCTATCAAATTGCTCTTTCTCACTCTCAACCACATCCTCAATGGATCTTCAACCAGAATGCCCTCTAATTGTAAGTATCCCACAGGGTTCTGTCATGGGCTCTTTTCTCTTTCTCTTCTATACTATTTCATTTGGTGATCTCAACAGCAACCATGGATTTAATTATCATCTCCATGCTAATGATTCTCAAATCTACCTATCCTGTCCCATTTCCACCTGTCTTTTAGACATCTCAAACTGGAAGTTTGGTAGAAATCTTAAACTAATCATGTCCAAAATTGAACTCATTCTCTGTCCCCCTAAATTCTCTCCCCTTCCAAATTTCCCTCTTACTATCAAAAGGACTATCATCTTTCCAGTCCCCAAGGCTCCTAATTTAAGTGTCATGCTGGACTCCTCACTATGTCTCAACTCCTACATCTCCCAATATGTTGCCAAGGCCTGTAGAATTCATTTTTCAACATCTCTTGAATATGCCCCCTCCCTTTTTCTGATACTGTCATCACTCTGGTGAAGGCCCTCATCAAATCATTCTTGGACTACTGTAATAGTCTGTTGGTGGATCTGCCTGCGTTAAGTCTCTCCACTCCAGTCCATCTTCCATTAAGTCACCAAAGTGATTTTCCTAAAGCACAGGCCCATCCATATCACCTCTCTACGTAAGAACTCTAGTGACTCCAAATCACCTCCACAGTCAAATATAAAAGCCTCTGTTTGACACTTAAATCTCTTCGTAACCTACCCCCCTCCTTTCCAGTCTTCTTATACCTTGCTCCACACCACATACTTTGGCTTTCTTGCTATTCCACAAAGAAAACTCTCTGCTCCAGGCATTTTCCCTAGCTGTCCCTCATTCCAGGCATGCTCTCCCTCCTCATCTCCACCTTTTGGCCTTCCCTGGAATCCTCTAAGTCCCAACAAAGCCTTTTTTAAGCCCTGTTATTTACCTTCCCTCTTTTGATTATTTCATATTTATCCGTATATATTGCTTGTTTTCACATATTTATTAGCTTTTTGTCTCCCCCATTAGATTGTGAGCTCCTTGAGAGAGGGGACTGTCTTTTGTCACTTTTTGCATTCCCAGTTCTTAGAACAGTGGTTAGCATACAGTAGGTGCTTAACAGATATTTACTGATTGACTGCCTAAGGGCACACAGCTAGTAAAGGTCAGAACCAGGTCAGCCCTGGTCACATCCGACCCCTTCTGACCTCATCCGGGGTTTTCTGGACACAGAAACTGGAGTGGTTTGCCATTTCCTTCTCCAACTCATTTATCAGATGAGAAAACTGAGGCAAACAGGGTCCCACAGCTAGTAAGTGTCTAAGGCTTTGAATTCAGGCCCTCCTGACTCCAGGGCTGGCACTCTATATATTGTGCCAGTATCTGCCCAACTAACTCAGTAAGTAAGATTTAAATTTGTCACTTGAAAAGGCTAATAGGTCATCTCATCATTAGTTTGGTGCTTTCCTGAAGAATTAGGACTTTTAATCTTTCTGTGGTAGAGAATCACTTATGCCTTCTTTCAGTCCAAGAGGTGAGGTTTATTGTAACACCAATGTGAGGAATGCTAACAGTTTGGTTACCACAGAATTGATAAGAAAACAGGACAGGAGGAGATTAGGTTATTGATTACACAAATACGTAAACAAGATTAAGGAGTACATCAGGTGATGTCCTGGAAAGTATCTTGTTTGTCCAGGCTTTCTGGCTCTCCCCTCCTTTTATCTTACTTTCCTGCTGAACCAACAGTTCCTTGTTTTACACCTTTTTGCAACGTTGTTGCTGGGGAAAAGTTTCTGAGCTTAGACTGCGGAGCTCTGAAGCCCAGCCAATGGGAAAAGGAGCTAGTGGGTGGGTGGGGGTTCCACCTTAGGGTCTACATAAACTGGCTTTGAGCTGTACTTCCTCACACGCCCTGGCTGGAGCCATCTTGAGCAATGCTGGGTGTGTCCTTTCTCATGAGAAAGCAATAAAACTCCTTTTTGCCTTTCTTAAGAAAGTCTCTGATTTGATTATTTTGGGGGTCACAAACACCCCACACACCAATAAAAGTGGGCTAGACTCTTGGTGAGTCTGCAGTATTTGTGACACCAATATAAGCGGGTCAGATTTTAATCAGATTTTAAGAATCTGTGTAATTTAATGGGGGCAAGATTGATATTTTATACAGAAAGACTGTGGGAAGATCTGGATGGAATATAGGGGTGGCAAGTATCCTGGAGTGGGCCAGGTACAGACAATGAGGGCCACAAGGAAAGGGCAGTTAAAAGGATTATTGCCAGGGATGACCTGGGTGCCTCAGGCAAACGCCAGAGATCTGGTTTCAAGGGCTTTGGGGTCCAGGTACCAAAGACAGAAATGGTCTTTTCCTTTTAGGGGTCCAGATCCCATCAGAAAGTTCAGGGGCTTTTTGGGTCTAGGTCCCATCCCCATCAGGAACTTGTGGTTATTGCAATTGTTTATGCTACATTATTATAGCTTAATTTGATAATCAACACTACAGAAACAGTTGCATTACAGTAGCAAGATAAGAAGATTGTAATATAGATTATAATGAATTGTAGCAAATTTCTTCAGGATATATGCTTTTTTATGTATATTTGTTTTTAAATGCAAATTGTTTCATTTTAAAAGAAGTATTTTATATTGAATATTGTTGCAAAGGGAGTATCTATTTTTGCTTTATTTTCCAAAGCTGTAGAACTCATTTTCTATCGCTAATGAGTGTTCCATAAAGAAATTTCATAGAGCTTATAGCAAATCTGGCTTTGAGGAATACATAGGAAAAGAATTCATAGAATTTTCTGTATATCAATATGCAATCTACATTTCAATGATAAATATTTTTAGACAGCCTTGTTTTAGTTTTTAATCTGCATTTTTTTCATCTCTATTGAACAGTGATAAAAGCCTCTAGTTTACTACCTCATTTGCAGGTGTGTATGTAGCCACATGTGCACACACACGCACACACACACAGACATATGAATGTACACAAACTTTAGACTCAAAATAGACTGAATTATCATTAAGGAATAAATTTTGAAGGCAGATTTTCATATTTCAATATGAAATATGAGTCAGAACACTATGGAGCAAGACACTTTCTTCTATTAGGCTGGTCTACATTGCCACAATTATCAACATTCAGAGATAATATGAATATATTTGAATGTGTGTGTAACAGAATTTTTACCCAAGCTTGAAGTGATTTTCTAGAGGGATAGCCCTATGACCTGCTTCTAAGTGGAAAAACGTGTCTACTTGATTGGCTGAGAGGCTGTTGAGCCATAAACCTGTGATCCTACAGAAGGGCAGAAGAGATTTCTTCAGAGATAGTTGAAGGACTTCTGAGGAGGCAGATAAAAGAGCCAGAGGCCCAAACTGGAAGGGCTACCAAAATCTCTCAGAATCACATACACATGCCCCCTTGATTTCTAGAGGATGCAACACAAGAGCATGCTAAGAGCCAACTTCCCCTTCTCTCCCCTATAATATTGTTTATTCTCTCTCTCTCTCTCTCTCTCTCTCTCTCTCTCTCTCTCTCTCTCTCCCTCTCCCTTCCCCTCCCCTCTCCTCTCCTCTCTTCTCCCCGCCACTCCCTTTTGACAGCATTCTTCCCCTGGCTGAGATCTTATCCTGCTCCCAGATGAAGTGTTTATTTGCTCAATAACTTTCAGAAACTCTTTAGTCTACTCTAAACTGTATAATTTCCCTGATTGGTTTACTCTTTAATAAAGAGATGTAGTAGGTATCTGTGATGGTCTTTAGTGTAACCAAGATTTGGTGGGAGGAAGTTAAACAGGTGATAGTAAGCTAAGCTTTACCTTCCCCTTGAAAGAGATCAAGGATATTATTCCTTTTATACCGATCCCATTATTTCACTCTTACATTGTAAATAAGGTGTGGTAGAGAGACATGACTTTAGACCAGAGATTCTTAATTTTTTTTTGTGTCATTGACATCTTTAGCAGTCCTGTCAAGCCTAAAGTCTCCCTTCTCAGAACATTGTTTTTAAATTACTGAAATGTTAAATTTCACTTAGAGTAAAATGTATTATTTCTTTTCTTTTTTTATATATATAAATAGAACTTTTTTTTTAGTTTTCAACATTTACTTCCACAAGATTTTGAGTTCCAAATTTTCACCCCATCTCACCCCTCCCCCCACCCCAAGATGGCTTGCATTTTGAATACCCCTTTAGTCTGCTTTCTCTGCTATCTCTCCCCCCCTTCCCCTTCTATTTTCCTGTAGGGCAGGATAGATTTCTGTAACCCATTTCCTGTATTTCTTATTTCCCAGTTGCATGTGAAAACATTTTTTTTAAAACATGTTTTTTAAACTTTGGGTTCCAAATTTTCTCCCTTCCTCCCTCCCCACCCACCCTCATTGAAAAGGCAAGCAACTCAATATAGGCTATACATGTGTAGTTATGCAAAACACTTCCATAGTAGACATGCTGTGAAAAACTAACTCTATTTCCCTTAATCCTATCCCACTCCCCCATTTATCCTATTCTTTCTTTTGACCCTGTCCCTCCTCAGAAACATTTGCTTCTGATTACCCCCTTTCCCAATCTGCCCTCTTCTCTATCATCCCCCTACTCTCTTGTCCCCTTCCCTTCCTATTTTCCTATAGGGTAAGACAGATTTCCATACCCAATTGAGTGTGTATGTTATACCCTCCTTAAGTCAAATACTATGAGAATAAGATTCACTCATTTCCTCTCACCTTCCCCCGTTTCCCCTCCACTGTAAGAGCCTTTTCTTTTCTGTTTTTTTGTGAGATAATTTACCCCGTTCTACCTTTCCCTTTCTCCTTCTCCTAGTATAATCCTCTCTCACCCCTTAATTTTATTCTCCAAATATGACCCCTTCATCTTCAACTCATCCTGTGCACTCTATCTCTCTATCCATCTATCTATATATATATATACATACATATATAATCTATCTATCTATATATACATACATATATAATTTTTTCCCTCCAACTAACCTAATATGGACAAAGGTCTCATGAGTTACAAATATCATCTTTCCATGCAGGAATGTAAACAGGTCAATCTT